ATAAAAATATATATATTTATATATATAAATATATATACTAAATTATTTATTAATTTTCATTACTTTCATCCTCTTTTTTTTTATTCAGTTAAATAATTACAAATGAAAATTCAGGTAATTATCTCACCTGAATGTGTCAATTGTAGGTCTCGGACTTGACGCTGTAGTAAAGTTTTTCAAACCCAATTGTAACCTATGGAAAGAGGACCATCATCACATTTATTGCTCACCATATATTATATTATTTGGGATTTATCCCTAAGGTTGAATCTAACCTTAAATTTGGATGATTTCAATAAGAATCTAAAGATTTAAATTATAAAAAATACACTAAAATTATCGAAAATTCATTCTAAATTTCGATAACTATAAAGCTAAATATTATTTTATATGCATATTTTTTTTTTACTTTTCGGTTTTTTTCCATTATTATTTTATTTATTTTAAAGATTAACTTTATTTATCGATATATAATAAACATAAAAGGCTGGAATAAGAGGTCAAACTCAGTCTGTTTAACTTTAAAGTAGTATAAAGAGGATTTTTAATATAATCTGAAGGATAAGAGGACTGCTTTTCTCCTATCAGCTTATACTGATACTGACTGATGATACTCAGCAACAAGCTTTACATAAGCTGACAGGTAAGAGGAGAGAGATATCTATGCTGGTAGGATAAGAAATAGGATAGTTAACTTAAGCTTGTAAAATAAGAAGAGAGAAATATCACCTAAATTAGTATTTTTACAATAAGAAATATGTTCAAATAATAAATAAGCCATTTAATTTGAATTAAGAAAGTCACACTTTTTACTTAAACTAAATAATTTCGAAAGCAGTCGTCTTTTTTTTTCAACAAAAATTATATACATAAGATCTTTATCTATTTTTAAATAAGCCCTAAGCATAATTTTAATTATATTTAATTGTTCTTTTCTATAACATTAACTTTCCGCTTAATTATGATTAAAATAGAATTTTATGCTTACAACATTAATGAATAAACTTCAGCATTATTAACTTAATGTATTGCTTTTCTCATATCCAAATCCGAGGAGACATTTATAAAATAATTTCGTGTCAAACTATGTAAGTAGGTAACTTCATTACAATGGAATACAATTAGTCATTGGTGTTGCAATAGAATTAGTTACCACAGGTCACATCATTTAGAGCAAAATGAGACAAATGACAGCAGTATATCACTGTCTCAATAAATAAATCATGAATGCCAAGATCCGAAAATTAATTCCATCGTTAACATTTCTTAAACTAAGTTGTATGGAGTTCCATACATGGAATTATTAAACCAATCTATTAATCGGATATAATAGAGTTAAATTATACTATATAATTTCTCTATAAAATAGTGAAAATATAAAAAATTAAATAATTCAGAAGCCATTATACTTATATTAAAAGAGAAACGTAACGAAGTGGAAGTGAAGCTTTGTTCAAAGCTATCTTATATTCCGAAACAATCACAAACATCACCTGCTGTCTGGTGGGGGGAGAAAATCTGTTTAATTTTTAATTACTTAAGGATTCTGACAGTGTACACCCAGGCTATATCGTTATTGTTATGTTGTTATAGCCTCAAAGCGAAATAGAATTTAGAATACAAAGAGTCAATACATCATTGTCACCGAGTTAGACACTTCCTCCTGTTGCTATTTAACAGTTGCTCTGGAACTGTCATCGGCTAAATGAGGCCTGTTTTAGAATATTAATTCGATGAATAGTTTCAAGATACGAGATAAAGCTTGAGATTTTTTCTACATTTATAAAGTTATTTATATATACATATGTATATTTCTGTGAAATAATATAACAATATGACAGCAATCATTAGTTTGATTTAAGACTTGTTAGTATAGGGGACAATGTCGTACTTCAAGAAACTGTAATTTAAACGTTATCTTTTTCTTTTAATTATTCATTAAAATAAAAATTGCGTCACATTTTTAATACTATTATTATCTTAGCTTTCTACTTCTCGTATTTTTTAAATAAATATTTTTATAAATTTTTTGAAATGTGTGCAGTTATATAAGAATCAACTATGCAAATATAATTTAGATTACATAAATATTTAACCAATGGATAGGTTTGTTTTAAATAAGCATTTTCAGTTTATTATAAAGTAGAGCATATTATGTAAGATAATATAAAATAGATCACAACGTAGGCCTAAAAACTATGCACTCTTATTTTTTACCCACGTTTTGTGTTAGATCGAATTTCAGGTAAGGAAAGATCTGAAATTACAAAATATCGAAAAAGTTTGCTTAAGTGTTCTCCATTTATTCAAGACTTATGTATTTTTGCGATAAAAGTTTTTGTCGAGAGTTCTCTTGAGAGTTAAAACTAACAGGAAAAGTATTTAAATGTAGCAAGAAAGTTTTCCTAAGCTTTAAATATAGTAATTTTAAACTCGTTAAATTGTTAAATGTAACTTATCGCCTCGTAGATGATTTCCATTTTGACACAACGACGATACTTTGCGTGTAACTGACTCATCTACTTTCCAAATTCATTAATGGTGCAACTAACACGCGAAAGCCCAATTCTTTATATTTATTGTGAATGCTACTCATCAACAGCTTACAAACTGCTTGAGAGAAGATAATCGATCCGAAAAGAGTTATTATAAGACAAGAGCACTGAGATATATATTTCTGATTTTAATGAAATTTAATTCCAAATTTCACTGTCTTTAATCGAAATATAAGAGCCACATTATTTATACGATTAAGTCAATTCTTTGCCTACTTAAATAAGAGTTATGCTGTCAAGTTGATTTGCAAGATTTAAACAATTCATTTATCAGTTTTACAAAGTCAATAAACCAAACTAATTATAAAACCGATATGAAGATGATAGCTTTGTTTACTAATTCTGGTTTTCTCCTATGATTTGAAGATTAAGTAAAAAGGACACATGGTAAGGTATCCTCTTTACTTAATCTTCAAATCTCCATCTCATATTTATCTTACTTAATTTACTCTTTGAAAGATCGAAACAGTAATTTTTTTATTAAAACATTCTTTATCTCTTTAGCTTTTCGTATCATTTAAAAAAAATCATTTTGATACGAGCCAAGTTTAATCATTCTCCTGAAATCATCACTTGCTATTATTAGTTTGTTCAATAGATATAAATCTCGTCAATACTTATCCGACCAATTTATCAATATAGGTTTTCTCACCGAAACTTCACGATACATCATCATTCGTTAAACGAACAAATCTTTTCTTATCACACCCTTTTCGACATCTTTTTAATTGTATAAATTTATTCTCATCATCGTTTCATCTTCTTCAAAGATGAAAGAAAAAAGAAATGTGCGAGGAAGTCTTAAATCTTTTTTTCTTTAAGGTTAAATGGATTCATATAACCTATTAATTCAAGAAGATTTAAATTATAAATAATTATAATTTTTATTCTAATTTATTTATAGATTTTATGTAATGAATTCATTTTATTTTTCGACAAGTATAATCTTACTACTTGTTAATATTTTTATGAAAAAAAAAACTTCTAAAACATGATTATAGAATTGATTCCTGGCACAGATTTTATAATAATAATAAGTTTAAATATATTTAAAAGTAATGGTTTTAGGTTATGAGTCTAATAAAAAATTAATTCTCTCGAAAAAGCCAATAAATTTTCTAGAATTAAAAATCTGAAGAAAAAATCGACCGTTTGAAAAGAGGAGGAAAATAAAAGCTTATTAACACGAAAAGTTATAAAAATTTTTGAGGCGAAAAAGATGAATATTTTGCCTTATGACCCAATGATAACACCTGCAGACTATAATCTTCTTCTTTAATACACTTAGTTATTAAAATCTGTTATCCTTACAGGATAGAAAAGGCTCTTTGGCACTAAGAAGTTATTATTAAGTAAAAAAAAAGTTACGTACATAATAATGGTGAAGCGTACAAAGATTAATGCAAAAGCACAAAACATTCCAAGCCATTTATAAAGTGCACTTCATTTTATATTTCAGATAAGGAGTCATTTAATTAAATGCGGTGCACTATATAGTAAAAGCGAAATTACAGAGTCACGGAATTTCTCATACGAAACGCTGTATCCTTGTCATTGGTGTGACTTTATTAAAAACAAGAGGCAAAGAGGAATTTGAAAGGGTATCTCATTCTCACAGGTAATAATATATTGTAAGCCGTGACCAAGGACAAGTCTAACCCGCCTACTGGTTACGTCCGCTATCAACTTTTGTTCTCCTTCTAGTGGGTCCACTTAATTATTTACTCCTGTTTTTATTTGCGATCTTCAAGGTCGCCACCATCAATAAACAAAAAGGGGTCAACTGTCAAAACCGGAACCGCACTAGCGGGATAAGGCTATTGGCTCTTAACGAGTGGAAAGTTGGCGTGAAAATTCAACGACATTAACTAATAACCGTTTTAGTGATTAAACTTTTTTTATGTAAATTATTACTGATTTATTCTAGACTTGTTTTTCGTGTAATAATAAATCTTTCGTTATATAAAAAAAGGTAAAGAAAACACATTTTAAATTTAATTTCCTATTTTTTTCGAATACATTTATCTTTACTTTCAAATTGCTAATGTATTTCTAATGAAATCATTTTGTAGAAAGGAGGAGATATTGAAAAACAATTTTTTCTAATTAATTCGTGAGAATTTTGGATTTAAAAACTAGAATTTTATGGAAAAATTAATTAATTTTATTAGACTATAACTATCAAGGTCGACATCAAAACATTTACCATCAATCTTTGAAAGATAATTTTAATCAAAATAAATTTTATTGCATAATCACGAATAATTCAAGGTAGAAGTTTCACGGAGGCCTCTAATTATACTTTTATATTTGAAAACTATTCAAGATCTAAACAATGAAATAATGAAATGCTTAGAAAATAGTTCAAGGCATACATTAAAGATTAAAGAACTGTAATTCCCTGGCATTTAATTCATTTTTCAAATATTCATAAACCTACATTAACAAGTCTATCGAATTGTCCCTGCGGGCTATTAACTATTTAATATCTGATCAGTAATTCAATGCAACTTGCTAGATTCTTGCATCAGTCTTTTTTTAAAAACTGTTTTATGTAATTTTGAAAATTTCAAATATTTGAAAAGATATATGCAACTTACTAATTTCACTTCTTCTTAAATTAACTGTTTAGAAAAAT